ATCACCTTTCACAAATGCTTTTCTTTTTTTATTTCCTTGATTTGCTCTTTGGATTCTTTCTATTTCTCCATCTTTTTTTCTTTAAATTTTCTTGTGTATTGCTTTTTCATCTTTCTTGTCCCATCATTTCTCTATTTTTATTGCTCTCTTCTGTACACTTTTTGTCTCAGCACCCATTTTTTTTCTCTCCGCTCACCTTTCTGTTATTTGTTTCCACGTTATGGCTTTTTTAATACTTTTCTTTATATTATTCCACTGGTTCTCTGTATTCTCTCCAATTTCTTCTTCCTTTAACCTTCCTCTCTACAGCTCCACCGCGTCTCTTGTCCATAATTGTATCTCTCTTTGTCTATGCGTCTTTTCATTATTTCCTTAGTGGTTACGTCCTAGTTTTGCTTACTCACCTGAATCAGTACTTCTTCCGGTTCTCTAGGAAGCCCCGGATTCATACCACTATTTTCGGAGGTTCTTGATTTTAAGAAACCCTAGCTCCGTCCATTCGCAAGGTGGAGTAACCGCTTGTTGGCACTCCGTGAAGCGGGGAGAAACCATTCCCTCTTCAGAACTATTATTTCCTCCGAGGAACTAGATCTTATTACGCCTTTTTTCCCTCCCGGTTAACGCACCCTCCCTACCTTGGCGCTTGTAGTAGCTGCATCGCTGAAGGATTTAGTGTTTAGTGGTTCCTCTATGGGCCCCAACTTTAGCTTTTTTTCCCTTCGACTTGTGTCGCTTACTTTGTTACCTTTGCGGTTGACAGATTACCGCTGCTCTCTACCCCTTGCGGCTTTTTAACCATTTTTACCTTTCGACTCTGACCCCTGGATAGCTTTGACCCAGGCCTTGCACTGAGCGTCAGTCCTACCAACTTTAATTGGAATACAGTAGGAAGTTTGCCTAGTGATTGGGCGATATGGAAGTTCTTTGGAGTAAATACCAGTGCGTGTTCCTTCCATTGTTTTAGATTCATCCGTGTAGATGAATATGTCTGGTTGGGGTGCCACTTCCGCATTAAAAAGATGTAATAGTTTTTCCCTTTTTTAGGATGATGTAGTAGAGATAGACCCAGAAGGGCCCCCATAACGGCTGTAGGGGTTGTTCGCATTGTATCTATCGCACAATCTTTCAAGTATCTTAACAAGAAAAGACATCAAATTGATTGGAGGATAATGCTAGGTGTGGAGCAATCACCTTTGCCAGGTTTGGGGAGAAAGCCAGCTGTAGAGCCACTATGTAAGCAATGGGGGCTCGAATGTAACTGTTACTGTCACGACTTGGCGAGTAATTGAACCGATTCTGTTTCTGTGGAGCTTCCAGCGAAGGAGAAATGAAGATTTGTGTCAGTGACAGCCCTAAATGGCAACTGCAGCTGTAACACGAACGAGGACGTTCCAACGCTATGGGCGAATAGGATCTAGTGCACGATAAGTGTATGACCTCGGGCACCTACGCTACGGGCAAACAGCAGGTGTTGTGGTCCTATATTATGGACGAGCAGTAGAGCCAGGGAGAGTCTTCTCCGCTATGGGTGAACAGAAGTCGACTGAAGTTTTAATCCGGTGCACGCTCTTTTATACCCTATTTCTGTCGTGGGGTATGTCACTGTCAGCTGATCAAATTTTTACATCACAGTTAGCGACATGCTGTCTCGATCGTTGCATGCATGTTATGGTGTCTGAAAACGATACACCTCGCGATACACCCTATATATTCTCACTAGGTAGCTGACAATACCATTCCTGCTGAGAATGATTTTACCTCCTAGGTCTCCCTCTGAGAGTGTTAAAATCATCCTCTCGTCTGAAGCTGGCTAAGTGAATTCTATAGAGCTGCAAAAACTCTTCCATGCCTCTCTCTGACGCCTCGTAATCTCCTTCGTATATAGCCTTAGGTTTTCCTTATAGGATTCCCAGTTGGGTATAGCTTTGTTGTTCCTTACCTTTGTTCTCTAAAGCGGCAGAATTCAGGCATCCCTGAGAGGGTGTTCGTTTTCAAGATACTGTTTTCGACCCGACCAGTTTATTTTGCCTGTGTGAGTACTCTCCTTCGACACACCATTTTCAAGATCTTTGCTCTTAAGGTTTTGATATTGCCAATGGATATATACTAGACGTTCCAATCATTCTTTGTGAGTACCCTCCTCCGACACGCCGGTCTTAAGATGTGGAATTATAACCGCTCATGATAGGGGTTGGTAGAAGTTAATTCCTTTCATTGAGACCTTTCAGTAGGAAGATAAAACCAATTCCCCTGATTTTCATAAGGGGAAATGGTGAAGGACGGTAGTTGGGAGAAAACAGTTCCTTTCCTTGAGACCTTTAATTATAATACCATGAGCAATAAAATCAATTTCTAACACCCCCCACCAAACCTGAGTTTCGCGTATTTGATTATCCTACTCAAAACAAAACGTTTACATTTTCTGAGCCACACATTTTGCTCTAGTTCAGAGTAATTTATCGTAGTAGTCTATTATTGTGATTACTGTCCCATTGGAAACTGTTATTTAAAATACAACGTACCTACATTATTATAGTAAGGATTATTTCACAGTTTGGGTACAGAGCAGTGAAAAATGGAAAATTTGTCCGATAGGTATTCTCCCACAATTCATTGTATGCAGGTGCATCATCCTGTTGAAACCAACAGTTTCGAATTTTTTAGCGTATTTTCCTCAAAGTCGCTATTGGCTGCACTTTGCTGTCCGTCCGTCTGCCCGTCACACGTACTCCTTCTAAACCACTGAACCGATTTTGGCGATATAAGACTCATTTGGAAGGGCTTGGTCCAAGGATTCCGTGCATACCCATATTTTTTGGTTTTGCGCATGCGCAGTGTCAAAAATTTGGTTTAACGCATGTGCGATGCTATACCAGTATAAGTAAAATTAAAGAAATTTTCAAAATGTTTTGCGCATGCGCAATGCCAACTTTCTTATTTATGAAGGCATTTATATGCAATTTTATACATAGGTATTTGGAATAGACAAATTTAACACCAGTGGCAAAATTTGGTATTGCGCATGCGCAGTGTCAAAAATGTGGTTTAACGCACGTGCAATGCTAACTTTTTTATTTATGAAGATATTTAAATGAAACTTTACATGTCAACACTACTAATATAAGTAAAATTAACGACATTTTCAAAATGTTTTGCCCATGTGCAATGTGAACTTCCTTATTTATGAAGGCATTTAAATGAAATTTTATACATAGGCATTTGGCATAAAGACAAATCTAACACCAGTTGCAAAATTTGGTTGTGCGCATGCGCAATACCAACTTCCTTATTTACGGAAGCAAAAAAAAATTATTATTTTTTAGTAAAAAAAAAAATTATTATTTTTTAGTGATTGTATAAACGCTCTATTTTCTTCCCGACACCTGTAATAGGTTTCTTCTGTTTATTTTATAATTTTATTTATACTGTTAGTTAATTGGTTTGTACAGAAGTAGGGAATAAATCATTATTATTATTATATTATTATTTAAATGAAATTTCATGCATAGGCACTAGGAATACAAGCAAATATAACACCAGTTTTAAAATTTAATTTTGCGCATGCGCAATAGCAACTTTCTTATTTATGAAACTAAGCTAATCCCGGCTTTAACTGTTTACGCATACTGTATATTTTATTTATGAATGTATTCAATGAAATTTCTAATGTAGACAATACGCAATGCTATTTACGAAAGCATTTATAAAAACTTCCATATCCAGACACTTCGAATAAAAGTAAAATTAATGCCCATTTCAACATTTATATGTATTTGTATACGCTCCACTATTTTTCATTAAACTGTATAGACTTCGATGATAGGCGGCTCATTTGAAAGAGAATGGGGTAAGGATCTCGTGCCTACCGGTATTTTTCCCTGGTCCTGGCATTTGTTACGAAACTCACTTGATTTCTTTTTAAATTTTGTTCGAATTTATAAGCCCTGCGTTATACTAGCATTAATATTATTAGGAGGAAAATAGGCTCTCGTCATTTATGTTTGCATAATGACTTTTTAACTTGTGTTTTTTTGTGTTCTTTGCCCATTGTTGTATTTATTCGTAATAAAAAATGTGACTCAATACATTATGCACTTCTTTTATGGGCCATATAACAAATAAAGTTGATGATTTCTCCGAAACAAAGGTTTTTTATTTTTCTATAACTGCTCAAATAACACTCAAATAAATGTATTAAAAAAATGCTATAAAAACCAAACATCGTTCCCGTTTTAACAGATTTGTGCATCGCTGTTACATCTTACACCCCCCAATATGAAAATCTTGTGAAGAGTGCAAAACATCTACCCAAAAGTTAGCAAAGAATTTCTAATTTTGAAACTATTGTTTAATAAATAATCTGAACTCCAGCTTACAATTGAACACAAGATTTTTTCTTGAACTTAAGTAGACCTCAGTAATTGGTCACCCCTGTTCTATGGTTCCCAAGATCTCCATGATAGACATCCTAAAATAGTTGAAAGGTTTTTACAGAAGCCATATTTTTTGGCTCGAAGTATTTCATTTTTTTCAAAATAGTTAACAATTTAATTTGTTTAGTAAACATTCAAAAAGTATAATATCAACATAATAATTTTTATTACAAGGTGTTTTAGGAATGTTTCTGAATGTATATACGTATGATAGCCTACTGTAACAAATCATATAAATCACTATATTTATATAACATGGGAAAATTGCAATTGGCCGGCCCGTATGACAAGGTTGAGTTGAAGGTAGACTGTGGTGCTAAGGATCCCTGGTTCAGGCATTGAGGTTTGTAAGCTTTGCCCGAAACCCCGCCCACTCAAAAATAAAAGCCAAAAATAAAATAAATAATAAGTGATGATGAAGAAATCATATGATTTCACAAAAATCAAAGAAATGCAATTGCAAATCGCTTAAAAGATGTTGAAGCACTGGATAGACTGAATTGTATGAATGAAATGTATAAGCTTCCCTCAAATTTTGATTAGTCATAGAAATTTCTTTCTTTACAGGAATGGGGGTGCCATGGGTCTCACAAGTGCGGCTATTGCACTTAATAATACTAGGAATCACGACAGCATCGCTGGTAATGTATGTAGTGTACATGTCGACTCCTCAACCGCGTACGACTGCATCTCCGGTATTGTTACCAGTATCACTTGAATTCCACACGCCACACGTGAACGGCACGACCCAGGATAATTCAGCACTGAAAAATGACACTTCCGTACCAGTAGCAAACAAAAACACCTCATCGGAAATTCCATCCTTACTATCCTTCAGTAATTCTTTGCAGTCCGATTTAACGCGAGGAGTTCCCGCCGAAGTCATTTACGAATCTGGTCATTCTCCTACCAATGAACATATATGCCAAGAGAAAGGTAAACATTTGCAACTTCTAATAATCATCACATCCGCACCTTCGCATGATAACGCTCGCATGGCTATAAGGCAGACGTGGGGACATTTTAGTGCGAGAAGAGACGTATCGATTGTCTTCATGTTAGGTGCAACGAATAATATGAATTTTCACGACAAGATCGAAAAAGAACATTTTATGTACGAAGACATTATACAGGGAAAATTTATAGACACTTATGAAAACCTAACTCTTAAATCTATATCTATGCTGGAATGGGTAAAGGACAATTGTCCACAAGCAGACTATGTACTTAAAACGGACGACGACATGTTTATTAATATACCTCGCTTACTTACGTTTATATCGAAGCATAATCCCGAGACACGCGCGATTTATGGACGTCTTGCGAAGAAATGGAAACCAATTCGAAATAAAAAGTCCAAATATTACATATCGCCTCAGCAGTATAAACCGGCAGTATTCCCGGACTTTACAACAGGACCTGCTTATCTGCTACCTGCCAGATTATCGAAAGAGTTGTATCACTCCTCACTTAATCATACTTATTTCAAATTGGAGGACGTATTTTTAACCGGTATTGTAGCGAACGATTTAAAAATTAAAAGAATTCATGTTCCTGAGTTTCTTAATAAACGAGTTTCTTTAGCTCCGTGTAGCGTTCAACGTGGTATTAGCATTCATATGGTGAAAGGAAGCGAACAATTTGATTTATGGAAGAAACTGCTGGATGGTCACGCAAAATGCAAGTAGATCTGTGTTTTTTTTATTGTTGTTTATAGACATCTAGAAATTATTTTACAATCTAAGTCAAGTACGTTTATTTAATTAAGGCAGCAAAGAGTAGTGAGATTGAAATATTTGTTTTATAGTTTTATATATTTTTTTTATGAGATATGTATTTAAAGAGTCTACATGACAAATATTTTTATGTAATCTCACTTTAAGTGATAAAATCGAATTGCGCTTTTGCTGGGTGACACGCTCTGAATTGGTAGACTGCGTAGACTTAAAATTAAAAGAAAACAGCGGCATTTACGTGCCCAAAATTTATTTTTCTACATGCGATGTTAAGATTTTTATAATGAATTTTAAACATCTAAACTATTAGTCGTAAGCACACTAAGTTAAGTTATAGCGATGCCATATTCTTTCTCGAATTTGAAATGCAATTTCATTTCATCAAAAGCTAGTCACCAAATCAGTGCAATTGACGTTATACCAGTGAAAAGTAAAACAGTGGGCGCTGCTAGATATTAGTAGATATTTATTCAATAATTAATAGCGATAAGTAGACTTTTTAATTAAGCAACAAGCATCTATATATTTTTTAATATATAAACCACAATTTTGTTTGTGTAATAGTAAATAAATATCCTCAAAGGTTACACATTAACTGTGATTGTAATAAAAAAATAAAACATCTAAATCTCCACATGTAATACTCAAATTTGCTCATATTGAATTCCTAACACAAGATTTTATTATCCCTGTCTGATTCATGTTCCTTGCAGATAAATAAAGCTGTCCAAAAACCTTGTATTTGTTACATTGTACAGAGTGCAATATTTGGGTGGTAGAATTATTACATCAGTGATTTTTTTGTGAATAAACCGATTTTGTATGACGTCCAAAATAATTATACAATTTTGACTTCTAATTTTACACAAAGTGGCCATCATCTTATCTTTAAGAATACAAAAATTTCGTATCTAGCGTTGCACTGCCCTCTGCATAATTATCAATAAACTAAATGTGCGATTTACATCAATATTCAATTGACTTTTGGGTTGCCATTAGGAACTCCAAATGTATGGAGTATTCCCTAGCAAAAGAAGATCTTCATCATCATTGTGGAGAAATGAAAATTCTTGCCTTTGTTCCTGGGGGAATACCCCAGGTTCTACATTCTTTCCAAAACGTAGAGTCCTTAGCTCACACAATAATTTTTGGAAAGAGGTTTTACGCATAGACTGAACGTTTTGATGGTAAACGTGTCACTGGGAGGGTACAGAATACCGAACACCCCCCCAGTAAACGATCTTTATGGTCGTTGTGGATAAATGAAAATTGAATTTTGTCCTTGTTCTTGAGGCGGAATACCCTCCAAACCTCACGGTTCTCCATTCTTTCCACAACGTTTGAGGCCTTGGCTCTTACACAAAGTTTTTTTGAGAGAGGTTTTAAGACTGGGTGTGTCACCGCGGAGGGTATATTCCAGTTGTATAGAGAATTTGCCTTAGTCAGTCAATGTATATGCTCAGGTGTGGACGGAACTGTGTAAATTCAGATTCATACGTGGCAATGGCGGGTGGCTTGTAGTTGTAGTTGTTAACAACCGTGGTTGATCAGTGGCCGTTATATTTAATGGTGGTTGAGAGGAAGCAGGCATCCTCTATGTTAATTATAAACATTTTCGGGAACGTCGTTCATGTTTACATCGAACTTTATGGCGATATCTTGCCAGGTGTCTAACTTATTTTTTAAAATTCCGTACGGTTTTCTCAATTTCGGTTGTCCGTATATAACGTTTTACTATCAAAACGCTCATAATTGTTACCTTTACTGCACAACAATGCAGAAACAACAAAAATGTACATTTGTTTGACGCACAGTGTATACAGTCAATCTTTGGTTACGTACGTAGAGACACTTCCACATTTTGTTTCCATAACCTCAATTTTTCGTTCATAATCTTCAAGTTAAAGTGTATTCATTTTTGATAAAATTTGTCTAATGACCGAGTAACGTAACTAAAATGGCTTCTTTAGTCATTTACTTGTTAGGGGCATTTGTGAGGGTCTGGTTATGTACCTCCGAGTATCGAAACGTGATAGCAGATCGGATCGAAATATCTACACCTTTGAATTCGTGGAAGCGCGGTATGTGCTTGATTGTGTGAGAAATTTTTTATTCCATGTTTTTTTTACAGTTACCGAAGGCTTGCATTTACTTGATCTTAAGATTTATCCTTATACCGGTGATACGTTACACGAACCACCTTTGCATTTACTTGCTTATAATTTTGTAGTTAAGAGTTGTGGAGACTACTTATACGTAATATTTGTGTGCTGCGATTTATTTACTAGTTATTTATTGTATACGTGTGCCCGGAAGTATATGGAACATTTGCGAGAGACTCAAAACAGAAATAAAGACAAGTATGCTAAAGATGCTATGAATCTTTTGTTGACTGAGAAAGACTTTGCCATTTCACCTCAATATGTCGCAGTTGCTTATTTATTTAATCCATATACAGTATTTAATTGTGTTGGATTTACCACTACAGTATTTGGAAATTTTTTTATTGCCGCCTTTTTGGTGGGGTTGAGCTATGGTTAGTTACTATTAAATGTTTGTACTTTGTAATGATGAAGTTGTGTAGGTAATTTACTGTTTGCTACACTGCCACTGGCGATTTGCATATCACAAAGTTTCTACCCAGTGCTATTAATTTCGCCACTTTTTCTTCAGTTGATAATGAAGAAGGATTCAAAGATAAAAGGTGCAATAGCTGTTATGTTAACAGTTGGCTTTTGGATTGCGATTACGTACTTATCGTATAATCTGTATGGCCGTTGGGATTTTATTGAGAACACCTATGGATTTATGTGAGTGTTGAAAATGCCCGATTTTTATTAATCATATTTTTTTTAGCTTGACAGTACCTGATTTACATCCTAATATTGGATTATTTTGGTATTTCTTTATTGAGATGTTTGAACATTTTCGCCATTTGTTTATATATTCATTTCAAATTAATGTCACAATATTGTATTTAGTTCCCTTATCAATTCGTTTCCGTAAAGATCCAATGTTACTTGCTACAAGTTTATTGTCGCTAACTGCAATATTTAAATCTTATCCGTGTCTAGGTGATGTGGGATTTGTTATTTCCCTTTATCCTTGTTGGAGGCACTTGTTCAACTGTACGTTAACGTAATTCTACCTGGCCTGTAGTAATGCTTTGTTTTAGATGTTCAACAAGGGTTTCTAGTGAGCTGCTGTTTTTTCGTCACTACAATTTTGGGACCTACAGTGTGGTACCTATGGATATACTCGGGATCGGCTAACGCTAACTTCTATTTTGGCGTAACATTAGCATTCGCAACTGCTCAAATATTCTTAATAACCGATATCTTGTTTTCGTACACTAAGCGGGAATTCTCTCTAAAGTACGGCAGAATCCGTAAAATAAATGCGAAGGTTGCGCAATTAACCTTGGAGTAATTCGTGTAAAGTAGAATGTGTCTATTATTTGTGATATTCACGTAATAATTTAGGATTAGCGTTTTGATATTGTTATTATAAGATCTCTTATCCTGACAATATATTAATTAAAGACCTTACAAAATTATTCTTAAATTGCATCTGTCAGTGCTATAAAACTCTACATTCTGGAGTAAATGGTTGCTCACTTGCACAGGCATGTATGTCATTTGTACTAGAGTCATCCGTCTCTTGAGCCATTTCATACATGAGATGAGGTTGAGAATGCTGGTGGGGAGATTGTAATTTGTAATCTTTCACATGCCTGGTCAGGATCCGTGTCTCCCTCATGGATTCTCTTAATTCTGCAAGTGATGGGTAATCACAAAGAAACGTCCTTTGTGCATTTAAAAAAAAAATAGATTGCGCATGCGCGGACCCAACTTTTATTTATCATTTCAGAAAAAACCGCTGATAAATAAAAAAGTTACAATAAAACTGCTTGGTAAGATCAGGGCACATATACATTAAATAAATAGATAAAAGATAAAATCACATAAAAAAGATACTTGTCACACAGATTTCTATTATCAGGGCAGGAAGAAGAACTTAAGATTACGTGTGAAATGCTTAGCCCCACCCTGTGGAACATTGTGTGTGTGTGAAACAGGCGGTTTTCTTAAGTACAAGGAACCCGGACGACAATCATGCAAATGGACCGGAGATCTAGACATACTACTAGACAAAAAAAGGTGATCTTTTCCACATCGAGTGGTGAGGCGGGTCTCTTAGTTGAGAAAAGAGGCCGGATTTACGAAGGAATAGTGGAGATGGCAGAAAAAAGCAGATGGACATACGCGTTTGATTCCCGAGATCATCAGGGAATGGGTAGAAAGAAAAGGAATATATATCTACCTCTCGCAGGTACTTACTGCGTCCTGACACATCACAGTTGTTTTTCGTGCTACAGAGGAAAAGAAAGGAACGAAAACCCTGGTGCATGTTTTGCAATTGCAAAGAGGACATCCCCTGTGCCTTGAATGAAATAACTTTTCTTTAATAAAATCAAGGAATGGTCTGAACTCGAAAGTATATGCGAAATCATGGTTTGGAAAGTAATTGGGAGTAAAGGAAAATAGAAGATGAAAACTTTATTACTATAGCTGAGAGGTGTGCGAACATCGAGTCACCCAGCACCACCACCCATCAACAGAATAAATAATGCCTGCGCGGTTTGGGGTTGGGGATGGAACTATGGATGGTAGGAGAAGGGTTTTAGTGGATGGAAGCCCTATACTACTCCCCCTATAGAGCCAAAGCGTGAGTGTCCGTACGAATTTCTCTATCCCAAAAAAAGGCACAGGACTCCCCCCCCCCCATGACAACGAAATCCAGAAATAGATAAGATCGTGGTAACTGAGACTCCAGACGGCGCTGAACGACCTAGAAAGATGGTATACCAGGATAGCTGATGTGAACCTCAAAAAGAGCTCAACTGCCTATTTAAAAAGAAAAGGCACACACACCCACATCTTCGGAAGTGCCATTTTATTGCGTATACGTAAATCACCGATGATGACCTATCGCCTATCATTGTATTTCAGCACTTTCATGCTACGACAAAAAATGATAAATTCATTGTAAAACACTATTAAAACAGAATTTTTTAACAACCTAACATCAACCCCAATATTAGAGAAACGTGTTAATAATTTATTAATAGTGCAAGAAACTAAATACAGCACATACTTATAAATTCCCAACGGGCCATTATGATCTACAGGCCAGGTGGCAATCGCCACCCGCCCCCCCGGGTCAGTCAGCCCCTGCAGGGATCCACCGAGACATGGAGTTGCTCATTATCAGACAGTGACGGTGAAGACCTTCGGCGCCCTGCCAGACCATCAAAAAACCAAATGGTACGGGAACTGAACATAAAGATGAATCCGTAAGCACAAACGTCAAAGGATGATAAACCGTTGAGTGAAAATTCCCAATGGCTAAACTAGATGGGGTTAATTTCATCTAAAATTAACGAAAAATAGGCAACACACGCAACATTACATCATATTCATAGCTTAAACCCGAAAATGTGCAAACTTACAATGCTAGACCTTTTTTTAAAACAAATTAAGAATGAATTATGCCGTGGTTTATAATAACAATTAAAAATAAATTTGAATAATTTTAGCGGCAACTGGTATAAGAAAGCGGGGTTATTCGTCAAAGGATAAACATAAAAGTAACTAAAAAAGATTTCCTCTAATTTAAATAGCTCACGAAAACGCCTACGTTAATCTATTTACTATTCAATTAAATAAAAAGGCCATGTAATTAATATAAATTAAACTGCCTGCGACCTTTTATCAACCAGTGGAGCGAATTTGATTTTTCCCCTTTCACTTTTTGTGTTGCATCCTGTAGAGATTAGGTAGGGAAGATAAGAGACATTTTTTATAAATGAAGTGAAAGTGTCCTTATCCAAAATGGAACGTTTTCATAAAATTGAGGTGAACAAAACTGTATGGGAGGTACCTGATCGTTATCAGATGCTAGCTGCAGTTGGATCGGGTGCATATGGCCAAGTTTGGTGAGTACTGTTTGTTGTGATAGCAAGGTTATGATACTTATCACCTTGTAGTTCAGCACTGGATTCGACTACGAGCACAAAAGTTGCCATAAAAAAATTGGCTCGTCCATTTCAGTCGGCCGTTCATGCCAAGCGAACGTACAGGGAATTAAAATTGCTTAAACACATGCGACACGAAAATGTTATCGGACTTTTAAACGTCTTCTATCCGCACAACGATACCAGCCAGGTTTGAGGAGCAATGCTTTTGGAGGACTGCGACACTTCGATGTGGTTATTCGCACTGTAGTAGTGTCTTTAATTTACACTGAATTAAAAATGATATTTGCAGAAAATTACAAAAATGATTGTACGAGTAGTTTGTAGGTCTACCAATTTTTAGAAGTGTCGCACCTCGCGTATCTTTTTCTAGTCTCGTTACACTAACATTTTAGATCTACCTAGTAACACATTTAATGGGTGCAGATTTGAACAATATTATTCGCACCCAGAAATTAACAGATGAGCACGTCCAGTTTTTAGTGTACCAAATTTTACGGGGCCTAAAATATATACACTCGGCAGGAATAATACATCGAGTAAGTCTTAATTTGAATGATATCAAATTATGAACGTCATAATAGGATTTAAAACCGTCAAACATTGCCGTAAACGAGGATTGCGAGCTGAAAATATTAGATTTCGGGTTGGCGAGGCCCACTGAAACGGAAATGACCGGATATGTAGCAACACGGTGGTATCGTGCCCCCGAAATAATGCTCAACTGGATGCATTATAATCAAACTGTCGATATATGGTCGGTTGGGTGTATAATGGCAGAATTGTTAACAGGACGAACTCTGTTTCCTGGAACTGACCGTATCCTTTTTATTGTGTTTACTGATTGTAGTTTTAATTAAGTGTAAATACCTTGACCTGCTGTAGATATTCATCAGCTTAATTTAATAATGGAAATTTTAGGTACACCTTCTGACGAATTTATGCAAAAAATTACATCTGATAGCGTAAGTGTCTCTTGCTCCGACTTTTTTAATAGCAGCTGACATTTATAGGCCAGGAGTTACATCAAATCTCTGCCACCTTTAAAGAAGAAGGACTTGAAGCAAGTGTTTGCGGGAGCGAATCCTTTAGCGGTAGATTTACTAGGTTTAATGTTAGAATTAGATAGCGATATACGTATTACTGCAGAACAAGCTTTAGCTCACGTGTACTTAGCTCAATATGCCGATCCGAGCGATGAACCTATTTCTGCGCCATACGATCAAAGCATCGAAGACATGGATCTTCCAGTCGAGAAGTGGAGAGGTAATAAATAGGAATGGTTGTGAAATTAACGCAGATTTTTTTAACATGCATTAGCGAGGAAACTCATTTTCGTTATACATATTAATACTTATTTAAACAGTACTGAAATCTCAAGCCTTTGGACAGACAAAGTTCAGAGTATTTAAAAAAAATGTCTCAACAATTAAATCTTAAAACTTGGGGTGAATCAATGAGCTTATCGCCAACCACCATGTAAAATAAGAGATGTGTATGGACCTCCTATCTTTAATATAACAAAACAATCTAGTTTATGGTTGACGCAATGTAAAACAGATGGCGGGGTTGGGCGCAGTGTATCATTTCTACTGGTGGTTTTCATAATCCATAACTCGTCGACATATGCATCACATAATTTTTGTGGGAAATTTAATCCTCCATTATAGCATTTACTGGTATTGGAATCCTTGTGATAACACTGCATCAGTTCATTTAAAGGCTCGAAGGACCAAATGTAGCATTAGGGTTGTACATCCTAATGTTCACCGAAGCAAACTTACACAAAGTAAATATCTTATAACTCAAAACCAGTACAATTGTTAACTGATAATATTTATTGTAAGCGTTTACATGCTATTTATATCACATATTTTGACCTCCTTAACCTATGTTAATTATGTTAGTATGCAGGAAAGGTCAACCTTGCCAACAATGTGCATAATATTGTTTTACTACCTTTGCAGTTTACTTCCTGATAGTAAAGTAGTATCCACATTTCTTTGTTATTCTTGGCGATTATATTTCCTTAATTTTGACGGTCGCTCTAAATCTGTCTTTCAGTTGCGCCTCCGTTTTGAATCAAAGGGATGTGATCGCGCTTTCAGTAAGAAAACACCATACGACTCTACTAGCAGAAATGTGATAGACTGAGATCAAACCCTTTCTTACATTGCATCGGCCATACAATTTCACCAACCAGCATTCACATTCTATTATTTAGTTTAATTCACGTTCTGGCACTCATGTTGTCATTCAGGTTTTTGGGTCATCCAAATTATAACAAAAAATCAACCATGCTGATCAGAAGAGCGAAGCCTGACTTACTCATGATTGATTCAAATATTTACAATCTGATAGCAATTGATTTACTTTGCAGAGTTGGTATTGGAAGAGGTGAGATCCTTCGTTCCGATGCCACTGGAAGAAGCGTCGTGATATTAATTTAGTAAAAATTGGGTAGCTTTACTTTAGTCTAATCAATTTAGATGTTATTTGTAAAAGATTAATTTTTAGATTTTGGCAGGGCTTTAATTGTATACAAATACGGACTTAATAATTCTAACATTAGTGCGTATCCATGGCCATGTTAACATTTGGCATTATATAATAATTTAATTCGATCCAGAAGAACTTTATGACACAATAATATTATGTTCATGGCGTTTTATGTGCTACACGTTTTTCGTAGGTAGTCTTGTTTATTGTTTTAACTTCCTATGTTCGTATATTAACAAATTTGCCACTTGCAAATCTTAATTTTTTTATTTGAAATACAGTAATCTTTACTAATGTGAAATATATGCAATTTTAACATAGACAACTGATTTATTGCTGCAGCTAGGATGTAACTTTCTTCTGAAATTATCAAAAATATTGCAGATAGTGTTCGAATCTCATCTATTATATACATGTTCACAAATGATTATAAAATAAAGAGTTTGTTTCATTTTGTTCAAAACTCACTATGCAATATTTGCTGTTGGCAACAAACCATTTGACATCTAATACAATTTGCCACCAGCGACACATCTAACAGAGATTGTATTGAAAGCATTTTCGAATTACTTCGAGAGCTTTTAAGTATATTTTAGTGTAATAATTACCTAAGACATTGGATTTTGGGGCCTTTGAACTTGGCAAACATTCATAGCTCAGACAATTGCACCTTTTATTCTCGCTGTAGATATTTCGGAGGAATTCCCCCAGGCATATGTAGGAATACTATATAGCATGGTCCACCGTGAGCAGTGCACTTTTATCAAGGACATGAATTAGCTTCATCATAACATAATATGGGCTATTTAATTTTTTCTACAAAGGTACCTACTATAATCTTAGTGTAATCAGCATTGCTGACAATCGATGAAATGTTAAGTATAGTCCTACAGTTTTATCTGTGTTCAAAACTATGTGGTTTTTAATGCACCAATTTTCAAATTCTGCTCTGGAAGAGCCAATGGCTTGAGACAGACTATTATATTATCAGCAGATACTGCTATTGTAGTATCATCCGCAAAGCTAATTAAAAAACCGTTATTAATAAAATGTGACAAGCCAAGCTACATATAATAATTTATTTAATGGACCCACCACAGATCCTAAATGTAAGTACATTATAATTATGCAAACACCCGCCAGAGTTCTACTAAAACAGTTCTCTCGTTGTCAACACCTTAAGGATTGGTCTGTGGCAGATCTCCATCTTTCTCGATCTTCAGTTAACCTTTTCAGCGTCAAGTGGGAAGTACAGGCCATGTCTACCATTATTTGGTCGATGTATTCCTACCTGCATTTAGGTACAATTCTGATAAACTTATGTTGTGAGTTGCAGATCAGGATATTTTTAGCGCATTTTTGAAAAAAAAATATGCTATTAATTCCTTATGCCTGGCTGTCCGACTGAGATCTCAGCAATTACAATTTCTAGAGACTTTAAATTTTCACTAAAAGCATTCTGTTATAGTGTAGATGTGCAGGATCTAGTCTATTTTGAGTTAGATTAAAACGAAGGAACACAAAAAGGACGTCAAGCAAGTATTTGCACTGTTGCAACTTGTAATGAACTTTTTCTCTACTTTCTAGTATTTGTGATATAGGGAAGGGTGGAACTCGTTTTACCCAGAGTTCGTTGTATCTGCAGTTACTAAAGCTAAATCTTTTTCTATTCTGTTCATAAGGAGAGCCTGACCAGGCACACCAAAAAAGGCCCATTCGCAACCATGTTTAGAGCCTGTTCCTCTCAATAAGGTATAGGACCCTGTTTAGCCTACATCACCGTCCCCAGTTCCAGATATAACTGTTGCCAAGGGGCTGATTAGCTGTTGTGCAGGCTACAGGAAAGCAGCTGGGTAAGGTACTGAGACTCGCCTGTCTGGGAGGTACTGGAGCCATGAAAACCATACGTAAACTTGGGCCATGGGGACACTTCTAGGACTAGAGCCTTTACACTTAGTGGAGGCTTGAAAGATTTCCATACGGCTAAACGATTTGGAAGAGGGGCAGCTTTGAGCACGGACGGATTTGGGAAACCCTCACATCCAATCTCCTCCTTACAAGAAGTGATGTGATCCGGGTTGCCTTACTGTGGTTAAACTCAGCTCGCCCATTCCTTAAATCTGAGGGCGGGCTTGTGTGGTTTACAGAACAGGCATGGGTATATTTACGGTACCTATATAAGCTTACTCCCATGTCAGCACCAGACAAGTTCCGATTGGCGCTTGAGGACAGGCAAACTCTAGATAAGTTATGTGAGTCTTATAGTGTAATCTTGATATGGTGGCGCACTGCAAAATAGGGGACAACGAAAGAGGGTCTTTGTCGGGCTCGAGCCTATCCTAGAAATTGCTCCAGGGCCAGGTTTGTAAAGACTGGGTCACCGGTCAATTCCAGACTCAGTAGCAACAATTAAGCAACCGGATTAGGAAGATCATCATCAGTGACCTCATTGCAACTGCAACTTGCACGGCCATATGTCTTTCTAGACTAGAGCATCACAAAGCTATTTCCATCAATCCCTCCACTATCTAACACTTGTCACCATGTCACGCGGCACATCGCGATTTATTCTTCGCACCATCACCACCTGATGTCATTGTTGTCCCATAAATTTCGGTCTTCATGAACTCCTACACGATCGTCCAGGGTCAAATCCTTCTTTCCCCTGCTGAACATGGTAGTGTTCATAATTGTTTTAAGCCCCATTCCTGGATCACTCCTCATGTATACTATTTGTCTTTAGGTAACCTCCTTTTAACTTTTTTATCCCATTCATTTTGTCTGCTGCATTGTTTCGTTGGGCGATAGGTGAATACTGTACAAATCCACATCCCCGCCTGCCCCTTGGTCCATATCATCCCCGTTCACGCGATCACTATCCCGTCCTCTGGTTCTTAGTTCCTAATGGCCCATAGCTAGGTGTGATTGTTACAATTAATTCAATCAACATTAAAGAGTTCTGCCTGATGAAAGTTATACGAGATATAAAAATATAATTCCTCTTTTATTAACAAAATTCAATACATTTACAATTCCCAATGAAAAACAAGATTCCAAAAACAAAAAGGAGAGGTGTTTTACTTAATAAAAAATGGAATAGTAAAATAACTTGTTTGGAATAAGTCTTCACTTTGCATGCCTGATTTGGTACACTATTAAGACCTAGCTGATACAAACGTATCAGTAATGCTATTAATTCATTTGGAGAACAGCTATTGGGCAGTGACACGGCTGGACAATTTTTTTCTGAAGGGTATAAGGTTCGTCATAAGGGACTAGTTGACTAATCACCCAGTCTACAACTAAACAATATATAAATCATTCAAATGAAAATGCAAGACCATGTAATACCTATGCATGCAATAAAGCACCACAGTTATATTATATTGGTTAAGTAGTTTTTTTCTCTATTTAACAATATTAAGTATGTTTGACTAGTTGAATACAATTTAAACAAATTGTTTTTAGTTTACAATATGGGAATAATAAAGTATAGTCCATTAACTTTAAAGATTTAAATTTAATCCATACAACAATCATCCATTTCTGTGTAATTTGCAGAAAAGCAAAACTAAGCAACATATAACTATTATTAGCTGTCATTGGTTATACAAATCGGTTGAGTAGTTTTAGAATATTGGTCCAAATTGAGCGGACTAAACTTTATATTCCTATAGTAGGTAGGTAGTGACTATCATTTGTTAAACCTGATCTGATTTTTACAATGACATAATAGAAAAATGTTTGATAAGTAAGTTGAATTTACTTAATTTTCTATCATTCTTTGAGGGGTATAACTGCGTGTCATTGCACATCCGGTTAGGAGGTACAAACTGTGCTTGCAATTAGACCATTTGTCCACCTATATTTACAAACTTTAATCTTAAATGAAGTTGCACTGCGTTTTATTGAATAAAAATTGTTTATGTAGATTTAAATGCAACCATCGATCCGTACTATCACAATGGGAGGTCATATTTAAAAAAAAATAAAATATAGATAAAATTTGATTAGCTGACATACAACAGATGCCTGACAAAATACTTAGTATAATTGGCCATTTCATTATAGTATATCACATAATAATTTGTGGTTCCGGAACAGACGCCGCTATATTTTTATGAGGAAGAACTTGGCCACCATTTATATATAGTTCATCTTTCACGATAACATCTTCACCGAGGACCGTTGAACCTTCCATTCTAACCCATCTGCCAATTGAGCAACGCCAACCGATTATACAGTTCTCCAACCACGAGTGTGACTTAATCATGGCATCACGTAGGATAGTACATCGTTTAATGCAAACACCTGTTAACAGAAAAGCTATTAGTATAATAACAGTCACCCACATATCAAGACAATTGATATATTCTGGGAAGAAAGAAAAAAATGTGGTATGAACCACAAGACAGGAAAGAAATAGAACTGGGCAACCAGGAGGGAAATGGTAGTTGCCTGAAACATCTGACTTGAATGCGAATGATCATACCATCTTCGATAACAACACCAGGTCCAATTGTTACATTAGGCCCAATCTGGCAGCCTGCTCCTATTACAGCAGTAGGATCCACCAGAACATTGCCAACAACACCGACACCACTATATAACACATCTGGTGTTTTCTGACGAAGCGATTTCAAGTACATACACATACCTAAAATCGGAATAATAAAGCTTTCCGCAAGTACATTAGCCAAAGCTAAACTAACCCGTCAAAAAGTCTTTAGGTTGCCCGACGTCCATCCAAAACCCTTCCAATTCGAAAGCATTTAATTGCTTGTCTTCGGCCATACCTGGAAAGACTTCCTTCTCGATCGACATCGGTTGCAGTTTTATTCTATTTAAAACACTAGGATTTAAAATATAAAGTCCGGCGTTAATTTTATTTGATATAAATTCTTGGGGTTTCTCGACGAAACTTTCGATCACGTTATTTTCGTCATACACAACAACACCATACTTAGAGGGTTCCTCAACCTTCGTGACTACTATTGTCCCCTCCCTCTTACATTTCTTGTGAAATTCGGCAAGTTCCTTAAAGGGAAATTCGCAAATAATATCCGAATTTAACACAAAAAATGGATCGTCACTTTTCTGCAGTATTTCTCTCGCCAAAGCTATGGGACCGGCTGTCCCTAATGGTACAACTTCGTGGGAGAACACAATATTAACACCTAACTTTTTCGCCTCCACAGACAATTCCTCTTCCATCTCTTCAGCTCTGTAGGACACTGCGAGTATTACCTCCGTAACATTTGCCTCAACCAACGCTTCAATTTGATGCAGAAGTATTGATTTGTTCGCGAATTCCACCAACGGTTTCGGCCTGCTCAACGTGAGAGGTCTCAACCTCGTACCATACCCTCCAACCAGAATTAAGGCTCTCATTTCAGCAAAAGTGTCTCAGTCACAAGAAAATTAATGAATGGATGTCTTGTTGGCAATTACACGTCATGTATAATGAGTATGGTGAGTAACAAGATCATTAGGACAAAAAAAACGCATGTATCATTCACAAATTACTTTAACTGAAACACGGACGACTTAAAAGGCCCACTATGAATATAATTATTTCAGTAATACGCCATCATTAATAAAAAATCACGTAAAATTGTAAAAACATTAAATTTAAATTTTTTTAAAATTTTTGACAGACTAAAATGACAAGTAAACAAACTTTGGTAGCAAAACCGAACTAACGGATAATTTGTAGCGTAACTCCTGGACTGCAATTTGCTAGATTATATTATTGTGGTTGAAGATGAAGTGACACCAAACAGATTTGTGCATTAGGTTTAAGTTAGTACAGATGGGTTTAAGATTTTTTTTAACTTTGCATTTCTCAAAGCAAAGGCGAAGAATCACGCTGGAAATTATATGCCAGCCTATGCGCAAGTATTCGCGTTCGTGACGTCATTGGGATTTTCATTATGACGTAATGTGCGCGAACTTGACGAATTTGCGTACCTTTATGTTTATAGGCATGTTTACCCTAACCCTACTTTTGTACTAGTCAAATGAAAGTTTTTCTGTTGCCTATTATTGTTCATAATTTGTATAAGGTTTTTCGTAATAACAATCCAATAGCTTTCATTTATTTAAACATTATGACCAGTAGAAAACGGCCAAGGTAAGTGTGGCGGCACAAAAATGGTTATTATACTTATTTATTTTTAATAGCAACAGCACTTCGCTACAGCGTTCAAACATTACCAAACTAATTGATAGGTTACAAATGGTGGAAAACACTATTCAATTTGCTGTTGCTGAAATTGGTGATATTAAAAAAGAGTTACTACTTTTACAAGATGGTTCTACGACCTGTGACGGTGTCAGTGAGACAGCGTTAACTGGAGCTAAAAGATCGTGTTATAATTTTTCAAGAGAAAACGAATTTGTTGTTGTTTATACAGATGGAGCGTGCGAAAATAACGGTAGAGCAAATGCGAAGGCCGGAATAGGTGTTTGGTTTGGACATAACCATCCCCTGTAAGTTGTGTACATCGTTGTTCTTATTATATGTGTACAACTTTCAGAAATATTTCGTGCCCTGTTAAAGGACGACCTACTAATAATACAGCCGAGATACAAGCATGCATACATGCTATTAAAACTGCTCATGCAAACGGTAAGAAGACATTCAATTTCCAATTAAAGGCATTAGAAAATTACAGGCATTCGAAAACTGAAAATCAAGACTGACTCGGAGTTTGTAATAAATTCCATGACAAAGTGGATTTTAAAATGGCGTACCAACAATTGGAAAGTTGCTGGAGGAGGTGATGTAAAGAATAAAGAGGACTTTGTGATTCTTGATAAGGAAATCAAATTGTTGGATCAAGTCGTTTGGGTAATGCAGTTTTTCCCATGTGTTTACTAAGGCATTGTTTTTAGGAACATGTGGATGGTCATGTAGGCATTGAAGGTAATGAAGCAGCAGATAGGTTAGCAAAGGCAGGTGCCAATCTATACAAACCTTAAAAGTTAGTGATTTTTTAATTTTTGTATCAATAAAGTGGTAAATCTGTTCAAATTGGCTTATTTTTCAGTTGCAACATTTATAATATTAATATTATGGCTATAGTTTTACCGAAAGTGTGTCAAATGTTCATTAAAGTAATCAAATCCATCGTTAAACCTGCCTCTGGATTTAGGAGAAAGTTGTGCACGCTGGACAATTTTTCTATTTGTCCCTCTTATTACATTAATACGCATTTTTCTGTAACGTTGTGCTGAGACCTCAAGCCCTTGGAAGGGTGGAGGAAATTCATTGAGTACCTAGGAATTGGAGTCCTAATGGGCCCATCGGATGGTGAAGATGCCTACGAAATAAACGGGATGTTGTTGTTGAGTGGATTTTAGGCAACTAAACATACATACACGAATGGTGTTAGTGTTTTGTCGGCAGGTTGGCTGCACTGTACTTGGCATAAATTTTATTGTGTTGGTGTTTGCCATTGTTGTTTAATGTTGCAAAAGTATAAGAATAATAAAAGCAACAAATGTAGATAATTTCTACAGGTAATTAACAGTGAAATTGTGTTTACTTTCAAACTACACACGCAATTAATAGTCTAATTAAAATAGTTTTAAGCTAATCAGATTTTGTGAACAATGCAATGCAATTTTGTAATTAAGTTACTCACCTTAATAGTATGGATTGCATAATGATTTTAATTACATTAGGGAAATGGGTATTACTTGCTTATTAGTTCTGTTTTAGTTTCCTTTTCGAATGGTGTCATGACATTACATTGGTGGATGCATTGGTTTTGGATAACATATCAAACGTGCGGTAAGCTTTGAATTTAAATAAGTCCACATTTAAAATGAGGTCATTTCAGTGTGTTACTCGAGCATGGTAACGATGCCAATGCATTCAGTTTCTGTGGCAGTTAACGAAACCATCGGTTTTCCAAATACGAACGTCACAGCTAAAGATGTTGCAGCTTCTAATTACATTCCGCCCATAACCACATTATTTACTAGTTCATTACTAAACTCTACCGTTATTCCTATTAAGTTATATAAGACATCGAAGAAATATGATTTTCAAACAAATTCGACCAATCGATTTACGACCGTAAATCCATTGATTAAAATAACGACTGTGATAGACCAAAATCTTACCGACGTAGGCGTAAATTTAACTAGCAGTTCCGAAAATACAAGTTTTATTGATGCGTTGAACGCGTCTTTCGGTAACAATTATGCAAACAGAAACATAATCACAAATTCGGAACTTGTAGAAGCTAAAAGTTTTGATACGTCGAAAAGTAGTTTGACAGCTGCTGGTATTACGGGTATTACTTTAGGTTGTGTTAGTATTATTGGAGTGATATGTGCTGCGAGTTTTATCATGTATCGCAACTATGGGTTTAATCGATTGCAGGTTCTTAATGATCGTTGCAGTAATCCAGATTCCATGGGATACATTGACGACAGTACAGTACGTGTAAGTTTACCTTTTGTTTTTTTGTTGCGCGTCATTTAATTTGTTTTATCATGTTATAGTGTAAAGTATGGAATAATTAGACAAGCTCTGTGTATTTTTTGCAAATAGCAAATTTAAGGGCGAAGAATTTAGTGCGTCACAATTTTATGACGATTCCAGAAACTACTACATATCTTATCTTAATTTTTAGCGCAATTATTTTAAATATTAATGTGCTTGTTTGCGTTTTGCTTCACAAAGTGTATTTTTTGTTGTTTTCAAGAAAAAAAACTTATATTTTTTCTCTTTTTCAGGAAAATTCTGAAGAAATGTACAGCCTAGATAATGATTCTTTTTTGAATAGTCTGGAGGCTATGACAATCCAGAATTTATGGACAGATAGTGTGAAACATACAAAACTCTAGATTTATTGTCCCCGTTTTGTATATAACTTTGAGTATTTCTGGAGCTGTTCTCATCAATCTAAATGTACCAGAATGCCAATGTGACATTTGATATACTAAAACATGACAAATTGGCAATCTGGATGCATTGTCTAATAGAAATTAGCTCTGAGTATTTTAGAATCTGTGATGCATATCAATAGACTTTGATCAAAATTATTTAGTAGTTGTATATTTTTGTAACAGTTGTACAGTAGGTCCAGTTTTTAGTTGAAATTTATTTATTTAATTATTCGTTGACTTTTTACAAGATAGCGAAAGAAATCATACCTACAAAAGCGTAGGTCTATTTTTTTTAAACTTACAAAACCACACTACTATGTTATATTTATTGTTATTTAACATATTGGTACACAGTAAGTTTTTTATTGTAGCAAAAATTGATCTTAATAATTTTGTATATTATCATATCTTATCAAGTTTCTTCCAAACGTAAATTATTATAGACCCTTTTATAATGATGTGTAAACATAATAATACATAACAATCATTTTTCTTCAACTAAAGTGCAATAATGTATGGTTAGATTATAATTGCTGTCCTGTGTACTAAGTATATCTGTATAGGGTTTATGTAATAATGACCACCTGATTAGCTAATAAATTAGATTTTTTATTACAGTTTTGTTTATTGTATTCGGTACTGTGTAAATCACGAATGCATCAGGCGGTTTTAGCATGTGGAAGAGCTCATTTCAGATAAAACACTATAAGACTTCTGATGAAGGTGGCACGGACAGGGTGCAGAAAACTTGAGACTATCTCCTGATTCTTGTTAGTTGTGAGTTGCATGCTCCCATGATAACCTTTTTGAGAGGATTGGGTCTGCACTAGAACTGCTGTTATCAAGAGATTTTAATATGGTGGACACTATTGCATTTGGGGTTGTTATCTAAGTATCTAGGGAGTGGAATGAAGGATTTGGGTACCTGGAAGGTATCTATTAGCTGAAGGAATAGAGGGCGGGAAATTTGAATTGGGACTCTAAAAGAGCGTGGGGGTAGGTGGCGAAGCGAATTCGACTGTTGAGTTCATAAAGACCCAGAGCGCTGTTCTTGTTTCTGCCTTTTTTGACGTCGGACTTAGGGGTTACTGCAAAGTGTTGATCAAAGTGAAGATTGTCAACATTGACACAAGTTCCCTCGATTTTTCCTTCATATTCCCCTTTTTTGTTCTGTCAACTGATTTTCAGTTACAAACTTCTTCAGTAATTCGCCACATCTTTTTTGTTTTTACATCAAAAGGTCAGAATCATCATTTTTCACTGATTTTATTGGAAAAACGTTGACACCCTATCTGGAAACCAAGAAGTGAGTTTTTGAAATAAACTCATTATTTTTCCTCCACTTCCACTCTTCTCTCCTGTATACCCTCCTACTCTTCTATTTTTACTCCTTTTGTCTTTTACCTTTGCTAATATTCCTACACTTCTTAAAATTGCTACCAACTAGTGAGAACTTAGTAGGTAACAGAGTGTTGTCATTGGATCTAAAATTAAACGCATTAACGGTTCCGGTCCGCTTTCGGTTCTAAAAAAAACGGTTCGGTTCTGATCATTTTTTCGGTCCATAACGGTTCTTTTCGGTTCAGGTCTTTTAGAAAGTATGGCATTCAAAAAATTCATTATAACAACGTGATATGTAAATTAATAGGTGTGAAAAAGAAGTAAAAAGTCACGAATACCAAAACGTTCGAAATTGGTTTCTAGTCTATAACTTTTGATTGAGAAGTCTGATCGAAAAAGTACGAATTGATTTGGATTCTACGCACCCAAATTAATAAGATCGACCCGGAAAAAGAATTTTGGTCCAGTCGATGGCATTAAAAAATTGTTATACACGTGATTTTTAATGAGGTGTGAAAAAGAAGTAAAAAGTTACAGCCGTTTGAATTTTTTTTCGAAATTGGTTTCTAGTCTATAACTTTTGATTGAGAAGTCTGATCGAAAAAGTACGAATTGATTTGGATTCTACGCACCCAAATTAATAAGAAGAAGTGTTTTCTCGAGAAATTTTGGTGTAGTCGATTTTTTAAAATTATTTTGAGGTAAAGCACCTTAGGCATTCCAAATGGCGTTGCTAAATTCCTTGTAACGGATCCCTTGATTGCTTGTTTGTTGAAAAATAGTGGTGAAAGGTTGAATGAAGCTATTTGTGAAAATATTATTTTAGAAACGCACAAAACTACAGGTGCCTTATGAAGAATCATTTCCAAGTTTGTTAATACTTAATAAAATATACGTTTCATTGTTTATATAGGTAGCATTTACCTGTCAAAATTAAATATGTACTACCTATATGTACAGTGGTGCAGTGTGTGAATAAAAAATGCAGCATAAAATTAGCTAATTATTTTTAAACAGTTAAGCAAATTAAAAATATTATGATAGTTGTCAACAATTTATTTGCATACAAGAGTACAGAACACGATGGCAAATGTATACGATAACAAGCAGGCGTTGAAAGTCAATATTAGCTAAAGATCCTTTATCTTGGGAGTGGTGTACTTGTCTAGAACTTCCTGGAGAGGTCTATTACAGCAAACACTTAGAAAACGCTACCACACACTAGACGTTTCAAGTTCTGTATTGACGTAGAGGAATTATAGCATTCCATTCGCAATCGTTCGACACATTCCCAAAATCTAATCTACTTTAAACTGAAATGAAACGTGGGAGTAATAACTTTTAGATAGTGGCAGTTCTCACAAGGAGTTTAGAAATGTTTGCGTTGTAAACGTTACCGGCTATTATAGGAATGAGAAACTGAAAGAGTGGACAAACCTTTCTAAACAGACAAAAAATAACAATATCATGGTTAGTGTTGACATAATAAATAATAATATTTAATGGACACAACAAAGGCTCTCTTGATTAACATTCAAGATTTTTTCTATTCACTTTTCAAAAAATATTGAAAATAGTGTTTGGCCTGCTTTGTTTGTTAAAAAAATAGTTTTGACGTACCATAGCGAAGAAAACAAACAGGGACAATGACAGGTGTGAACATATTTCAATTAAAAAGTGACGCCAATCATCTATCCAAGATTATAATATGAATGTGCATAAATTGATACAATATCATCTATACAAAAATCTTTGTGTGAGTCAGGACCGAATTAAGGTATTCGGTAACGCAAAACGTTCACTTGTAGCAAACCACCCCATCATGCTGGTATATTTTGAGAAGGTCACAACATTCAGTTATTGGGGATAAATGAAACTTGACTAGATATACTGAATTCGTTAGGGAATTTGCGGAAATTGGGGATGGAAGTTTGGAGATGCTTTTTTCAATTATATGGCAAGCACATTGCGTTAAAATCGTGCCTCAACTTCTCACACTTATTAATTAGACTTCAAATAAACCAACCCATGCCGTAGTACTTACTTATTTTCAAAAAGTCACACATTTTAGTGATTTCCGTCAGCTTTTATCAATTATTAATTAATTTATTTCACATATGCCGATGGGTGATTAGGTACGATTCGCTTTTCAATATAAAATCCCCATCTACTTTTCGACCTCGAACACGCAATTTTGCACTATGGGTAGTCCTTTTTAAGGTTTTCTTGCTCGAAGATCTCAAATATGCCCACGAGAAATCGCTGTAATAGTTGAAAGTGGCTCTAAAACCAAGATGGTGGGCGTAAATCAGATTATGGAATAAGGATAAGGACATGATCGAAAAATCCCAAAATTTAATTGGACCTCCATACAATAACTGGAATTCGAATTGAAATGAATTGAACGTAAAATTTACTCAGTTCTCAAAAAAAGGTGCTTTCATTTTAACATTCGTCTTTAAATTTAGCACCCTTGGTGCCCCAATTTAACCTGCATTATCACTTAATATATCCGAGGCCAAAGGAAGGTGCAGCGAATTTCCGTGTGTGCCCAAAACTTTGATAAGTCGACATCTGTTTTTTTTCCAATTTCCATAAAATTTCTCTATTCAATTTGGAGGGAAGAGTAATCGCAATGCGATAAACAGGTCCACTTAGAAACTTGATTGTTTGTTATCTTTAGTAGCATTAAACATTTGCGGAATTAGTCGTATAGTTGAAGGTAAACGGTGTGCAGTGCGTGTACCTATTTTGGGGGACTGTTTTGGAAGAACTCTGAAGTTGGCCCAGTAGGTAAGTTAAATTATTATAATCAAATTAAATTGTTGCAAATTATGCGAAAGTAAAAGGTAACGTCCAAATTGAGTATTGCGTCTCTAATTTATTATTATTATTATTAATATCCCCAATATCGTATTTATTCGTTAAAATAATTATACCGGGTGATTCCTAACCAACACAGTATTGTAATCCAATTTGCTTGTCCAACAATTTTAGTGACAAAGTACTTACATTTAAGTTTTGTCGCACTACCTACGTATCCCTACATATCATTGCCTATATGATTTATTTTGCGTCATTGGATATAAAGAAGCTTGGGGGCGCATTTTCAGTGGCAAACTCTTGATAATTTAGAAGTCGTAAAAACCTGCGTTTGGTACTCATAAACGCAAATGATTTCATTGGGATGTAAGGTAGGGGGTAGTTTTAACGGCCAAGCTTTTTTCAGTAAATTTAGACTTCAAATAAACCCACTCATGCTGTAGGATTGTGAAAAAAGTTACAAATTATTTAGCTCAGTTTTTATCAATTAGGTATTTATTAATTTATTTCACATGTGTCGATGGGTGACTAAGCCGATTACAATATTCGCTTTTCAATATAAAATCCGCATCTACTTTTCGATCTCGAACATGGAGTTTTGGAGTGAGGTATCCTTTCTATGGTTTTCTTGGTCGAAGATCTCAAATATGCCTCACGAGAAATCGCTGTAATATAGTTGAAGGTGGTTATAAAACCAAGATGGGGGGCAAAAGAAAATATAATTTTAGTTTTTAATGGCGTCAGATAGACTGTGAATAGGATGAGGAAATTATCAAAAAATCCCAAAATTCAATCGGACCGACCGAAAATAACTTGAATTCGAATCGAAGTAAACGTTTTAAAAAGAAACTATAAAAAATTAGCTTAAAAGTGCTTTGATTTTAACATTCGTTTTAGCTTAGCAAACTTGCCCTAATTTAACCTGCATTCTATCACTTAATATAACGAGGCCAAAGGGCGTACAAAGGTACAACGAATTTTTTTCTGTCCTCAAAAATTAAGGCCTGATATTTATGTTTATGAGGCATTTAGGTTCTGCATCCGATTTGGTACGTGCCAACACTTTATTGATATTAAGGCTGTGGGTGGTTTTATTTTTAAGTACCTATATCTATATGCGTTTGACAATTCAGGGTGTTATCAAACGTAAGTCCCAAGAATTGTGCATATTGGATCTCCTGACAAAAATAATAGCGGGTCGTAGTATATCGTTTTCGAAACCTGCAAAAGTCTGAGTCTTCTCTCTGGAAAAACTCAGGCCAACATTGTTACCATTTTGATTTATTTGGTCTATCACAGGTTGGAGTTATTTCCCCAAACCATATCATACGCCCCTTTAATATCAAAAAAGACAGTCACCAAGCGATTTCTTTTCCGAAAAGATTCTTGAATAGCATGCCTTATGAAGAACAAGAGGTGATCACTGATCAGGGATAGATCTATGCCTCTTGAA